CATTCATCAAGACTCAGACAGGATAGTAACATTATCATCAAAGTCAAAATCTGTAGCCCTAACACACTGGTGACAGCTCCTTCGGAGTGCTACAAGCCCTGCTTTCCAGGTGGTATCTATAGCAACAAGTGCCCACTGCCGGGGACCCCAACAGAAGCCACACACCATTGGTTACCAAATCAGAAAGGAAGAGCCAATTTTAGGCCCCTTTTAAAGCCTTGGGAGTATATTTAAGGTCATGCTTTTGGGAAACAAACAGAGCTTTGCATGCTTGTAAAGCTAAAATGCAATCTTAACACTTATTGCAATGGTTTTAAGTTTTAGTATACAGTCCAGACTCTCTAATAATGCCATGTGCGTTCCAACACATTTGCAAAGATATCATGAGGGTAAATCGGTTTTTATAAAAAAAAAAAATACTGGATGCATACCAAGCCTCAAAGCACCTATAAATGCAGAGGCCTACAGTCAGGGAAGAAGCTTCAGCTACTCCTCTGCATACCCTGCCCTGAACAACAAGAGCACCTCCTCCTCAACTATCTCGGCAGATAGACAAGAACAGTAGCATCTCATATAAGAGATGCCCGGAAATAGTCATGTTCAAGGTGTCCCACAGGTGGGACTCCTATATTTTGTGGGATAATATTACCCAGTGTTGCTCTGTATTGAATTGGGATATTAGCTCTACCCAGTATCTACTCTTTAAAAGGACAGAAAAATTCTTTGTCCTTCCTAAAAGGGACTACTGGTCTCCTGATCTGCATCGGGTATTTCAAACCTATAGGTATCTATAAAGTTGTTATGTACTGTGACTCAATTTGAGATGGCCATGGTCAACCCCAGCACACTCCCCTTAATCTGTCCAAATGACCATTCCAAATGGATATGATCACTACAATTTTATGATCGTTAACACAGTGTGTGACTGTAATTGTGAGTGTATATGCATATTTGTGAATGTGTATGTCTGTGTGTATGTGTATGTCTGTGTGCTTGTGTAACTGTTTATGTATATGTGTATGTGTATATACTTTTTTTTTTTTTTTGGTGTGTGTGTGTGTGTGTGTGTGTGTGTGTGTGTGTGTGTGTGTGTGTGTGTGTGTGTGTGTGTGTGTGTGTGTGTGTGTGTGTGTGTGTGTGTGTGTGTGTGTGTGTGTGTGTGTGTGTGTGTGTGTGTGAGAGGGAGTGAGTGTGTGTAAGCATGTGAGTGTGTGTTTTACATACATCAAGATGTTGGTAAAACAGGTTTTCTTTTATCCCTGGGCCTGCCTTAACGAACACCTCCATCACATAACACACAGCCCACCCAGTTTGCTCATTTTCAGCATCTTCTGAGTGACTTAGTGCTAAGCAGACCTCCCGAGAAATTAAACCGGCTCGGACTACTTACCACAGGCAAATCTTTGGTAGGATCATGAAAAAGTTTCACCTCTGGGTCCATTTCCTTTTTCAATTTGTCTGCAGCCAGCAGCACCTCCTCAGCATGTATCTTCTCAGAGTTGCTCCATAAAGGACACCTGAGAAAAGTTCATTTTCATAAGTCAATATATATAAATATCTATAAACATAAACATATCTATATGTGTGTGTGTGTGTGTGTGTGTGTGTGTGTGTGTGTGTGTGTGTGTGTGTGTGTGTGTGTGTGTGTGTGTGTGTGTGTGTGTGTGTGTGTGTGTGTGTGTGTGTGTGTGTGTGTGTGTATACATGTAATCATATATATATATATATATATATATATATATATATATATATATATATATGTATATGTATATGTATATGTATATGTATATGTATATGTATATGTATATGTATAATGTATAATGTATAATGTATAATGTATAATGTATAATATATAAATATATAAATATACATATATACATATATACATATATACATATATACATATATACATATATACATATACATGCACACCCACACACCCACACGCACACACACATATATGTATGTATATATAATAAAATATTTCAACTCTCAATATCACATTACTTTCTTTGAATCAGATACAATACGATCATTATGGGTGAAACTTACTTCTTTGGATTTGTGGGTACAGACTTGTCTTCAAAGTGATCATAGCCCTTGATGGCCTTCTTGCAAATGTAGCACATCATGGCCCCGCACGCACACTTCATCTTGTTGCAACCGTCCTCTTTGATGAAACGTTTCTTACACTTCCAACACTCTCTGCAAAATTAAAATCTCAGAGAGTTAGTGGCAAACTGGAGTAATAAATTCACGACATGAAAGTCACTTCAAGGAAATTGTAAACCCAACGGGAATTTCAAAAATGATTCCCGACTAACCTTATCATAGCTTCAGCCATCCGGTTTTCCATGAAGGTGCGCGCCTCTTTCTGGTTTTGCTTCTCAACTTCTTCACACCGTAATGGAACATGATTTGGCTCCTTGCAAAGTCTGAATAAAAGGTGAATATCGTCATATTTAGGGAGAAACTCTTTCTCTCTCTCTCTCTCTTCCTT